ACACACACACACACACATATATATCCAATTAGAAAGGTGTCTTCACATTACCAGGACATAATTTTAATTGGTAGAGATAGCTAAGGACTGTCAAAAAGACTAAGTTAAGGATCAAAAATGAAGCTGTTCAGAGGAGAGTAATATAGCCTAGAGAAGGAAAGTAAGGGATAAGGACAGGAGACTCCTTTAAATTCTTGAAGCTGATCTATTCTCTGAGGCATCACAGGACTGAACTAAGGTGAGATGGGAGTAAATCAAAGCAGATTTCAGCTCATTGCAATCCCTGAGAGCTAGTCAAGTCATATCACAAAAGTTAGAGTCGTATTGCTGGCTTCAGTGGTCCTGAATTATGCCTAACGTGTCAGAGGAACGATTCTTGCACTGGGTAGGAGACTGAACTAACTGACCTTAAATTTCCCTTCCAACCTTTCTTAACAGACACAGAATCGGGGGTGGGATGTGAAATTTGGGTCTAAGAGAAAGGTGGTCGTATTTTCTGAGACTGTAGATACAACGAAAATTCCGACTGCAGGAGAAAATAGAATCAGCCATTTCTCTCCAGGAGGACTATAGCAGCACCATGACCGTCAGACAGCCCATCAACAAACACTGAGCAGCTACCCTATACCAGGCATAGTCCTAGGAGCAGGCAAAGAAAATAAGAAAATTTCAAAAGCACTGAGGTTCACGAATGCTTGTTTTCCATTTGCATCATGATTCACTGGCACAGTGTTCTCTTCAACATGCAAAAATCACTTCCGCCATCACATTTTTCACATGGAGAACATTGCACCACCAAAGTCTAGCTCCTCTTCATGCCTACTAGATAAATGGGACTTAGCACAGGCAAAAATGCGAGGCCACGCAGGGGAAGCTGAAAGAGGAATGACCACAAGAACGCAGACTGGGGCCTCAAGACGTGGCCTTTGACTCTGTACTTGGAAGTAGCACAATGCACAGAGCAGAGGAGGCATCCAAGATTCAGGCTGGTTTCAGGAGCATGGTGACACTTGGCCACACTGCAGTTATTACACACAGGGCAGGAATTCCCTGTAGTAGGACTCTGTTAAAATGTATAACCTGAAGTACTTTGCTCTTTAATATCTGAGCTCCATCATCAAAACATTACCTAGTTATTCAAGACCCTAAGAGAGCATACTTGAAAAAGAGATCAGATTTGTGGTTACCAGAGGAAGGGGAATCAGGTGGATTGGAGGAAGGTGGGCAAAAGGTACAAACTTACCTTTTTGGGTTTTTTGCCCTTTAGACCAATTTATTTTATATCCATTTAAAATATCATTCAACAAAGGACAATAGAGTTATAAGATAAATAAGTTCTAGGGATGCAAAGTATAACATGATGACTATAGTTAACACTCCTGTATGATACATAGGAAAGCTGTTAAGAGAATAGATCTTAAGAGTTCTCATCAAAAGGAGAATTTTTTTCTTTTCTTTTTATTGACATAAGGATGTTATATGAGATGATAGGTGGATATCAATTAAACCTATTGGGGTGATCATAATATATGTAAATCAAACCATCACACTGTATACCTTAAACATACACAGTGTTGTATGTCAGTTATTTCTCAATAAAATTGGGGGAAAAAAGCTGGCATATTTGAAAGGGAGATTGTGGGTGGTAGGGAAAGGACTGAGGTTTGAGGACAGGAGTAGCTAGTAGGCACTGGACCCCTGGGAAGGGGAGGAGGGAATAATGAGGAAGGGCAGAGCAACTTCTGGACGCCGCCTGGGGGCCTTGGTGGATGTTTTAGTTCAGAAATTAATAAAGAATAATCCCTTACAGAACTGCAGCAAGAGGTAGTCCCAACGAGCCCATCATACCTCTTTTTCTTTACAGGAGTAGTAGCAGAGTTGGAAGCTGGGGTGTTGGTGGCATTTGCACTGAACAAACCTCCAGGTTGCCTGTTTCATCACAAGAACAATGATCACATTTCTGAAACTTTTCCACTCTACCCCACCTTTGAAAGGTCTTATAATCTACTCATATTCCCACCTGCTCTGAATCCATCACAAAATATTTCACTTGAGCATGAAAGAGCAACAAGAGAAAAAGTTCTTCCTTAGTTTACTATTTTACAAATTGCCAGGCTATCATACTAATAATTAAAACCGAAGGAATTGAATGAAGAAGTCATTCATTATATGACATGGTGTGTCTGAAACCCAGACCTATCAATTCCAATGTCCTATGGATTCCTACATATATTTTTTGATCCTGTATATGTTGTGACTAACAGAATCATATTGAAATTTTTTGCATTAAAAGCATTAGTTTAAGAAAACATTTAAAAATCACACCATTTTAAATCTCTATTTAGCATTTATTAATATATGCAGACCCTCAAAAAAAATGGAGGTCACTCAGGCCTTTTTCAACTACTGGAGGTGCAGTCCAGTGTGAAAATTACTTTATTTGTAAATACAAATTTAAAAACCAACTAAGTTTTCAAAAATCTACCTAGTTTGGTAGTTTATAACAACCATTGTTAGTACCGGGAAAATGTATTTTGTCTACATAGATTGTTAGCAAAGCCATGATTTCATGACTAAGTTGTATTGTAGATACGATGGGTGTTTTGGGAGCAAGTGAAATGTGCAAGAAGAAAGAGTTGCCATAGGGACAGGGAAAGAATTAAAAGGTTCTAGATTTTAAAACAAGAAAAGAAAAACAAGAATGACTTAAGCTTTGGTGTTTGGTTAGAGGAGAAGTCCTTCTGTGTAAAAGTCCAGACAGAAAACACTTGAAATTTTGTAGAGCATTTCAATATTTCTACTATTCAACTCTGCCCAAAGCTATGGGGGCATGGCTGAACTACAATGAAACTTTGGTCTGAGGGCAGTATATCCTGATTTTTCTTGAACGCATAGGAAGAAATACACTTTATCCTTAAAATGTAATGTCAGTTAGAAAAGTACATACATCTTTGTCTCTTCTGGTGAGCGAAACGTGGACATGTTTCTGGTAAGAAAAAAAGAAGGCAAAGTCTGAGCAGCAACAAAGAATGAATTCTTGCATCAATTTGCAATTGTCCATGAACTTAGAGTTATTATTATTAAAAGTTAACATTATTTGCGAGAAAGAAAAAGAAAGCATCAGTATTTGAATAAATTTGAAAAGTTGATCTCATGATTTTTTTACCTTTTGTGTATTAGATTCCAAAAGAAATTTTTTTTCTTTAGAAAATTCATTATCTTCTAAGCCCCGTGTTTTTTTTGCTGGGTTCAGTAATTTTCTTTAACAATAGGAATGTAAAATTGACGTTTACATGTATTTCATAATCTTGCCACCAGGATAAATTAAACAGAAACATAAATGTGGTAAGAATGATGGCCTGAAGCAATGAACTCTCTTGATTTTGAAGCCAGAAGTAAGACTTTATTTTTCTTTAACCATGAGCAGGAGTAAAGTTTTTATGCCAGAATTATTTGTGTGAAAAAAAAATAGAGAATGGGGCTTCCCTGGTGGCACAGTGGTTGAGAATCTGCCTGCTAATGCAGGGGACACGGGTTCGAGCCCTGGTCTGGGAGGATCCCACATGCCGCGGAGCAACTAGGCCCGTGAGCCACAACTACTGAGCCTGCGCGTCTGGAGCCTGTGCTCCGCAACAGGAGAGGCCCGCACACCGCGATGAAGAGTGGCCCCGCTTGCCGCAACTAAAGAAAGCCCTTGCACAGAAACGAAGACCCAACACAGCAAAAATAAATTAATTAATTAATAAACTGCTACCCCCAACATCTAAAAAACAAACAAAAAAATAGAGGATGAGAATTTACAGAAAGATATTAAGCAGAATTGAAGAATCCTACTTAATATCAAGTAAATAAGTAACGCTTAGAAAAATATTGTATTACTTGAGCCTTTCCCAAAGTTAGTAGATACTGTTACCTATTGGTTACTCGGTTATCCAGGGTATTGGCCTTATATGTTTTGGCAGCATCATTTCTGTCTGAGATCCTTTATAAAGAAATAAGACAAAAGTCTGGATGAACATTTAGACTATTAAACTCCTTTCAGATCTCGTTCTTGCTATAATCACTTCACAACAGAAACTTTCTCTGGTAAAAACAATTGCTTTTCAGGTGTTACATGTTAGAAAATTTTGCAATTAACAAAAAAGCTACTTACAACAAAATCTATTTATGAGGCTATTTTGATACAGTTTGCAACTTTTAAAGTTTATGTTTTTCAACTAGCCTTTCTGACTCATTTGAGCATTTAACCCATTAACTATTTCATATTCACTATTGTTTAATAATATATCTAGCCAATGACAGTACTTCCTATATCGCTACAAGGAATCAATGGAAGACTTAAGCAATTTTTAAAAAATGTTTTGTGGCATAGACCATGCTATATGCTTGTCAAACTCTTTATTTTCCTTCTGAGCACACAGGAAGACCATATTTCCCAATCTTCATTACAATTAAGTTGGGACCATATGATTGCATTCTAAACTAAAGAACGTGGGCGGAAATATTATTCATGACTCGCAAACCCATCATAAAACCTCTTGTGTGATCCTCCTTGCTCTTTCTTCCCCTTCTGCTACGGCTTTGATGCCCATGGGTTGAAGATGGCAGCATTAAAACCTAGGAATGAACCTAGGTCCCTGAGTCATTCTATGGAACAGGATCGTCCCCTAATTTTCCAGCCAATCCCTTTGGACTCTGAGGGGAGTAAGCAGTAATCTTCTATCGGGCTAACCGACCAAGATTTGGAGGCAGGAGAGGGAACTTGTTACAAGAGTTGCTCTACCCTGGCAAACTTGTTTACACTGACTAACACATTTTGTTAATAGGCCCTGCGGACCATCAGAGGTTTTAAACCCTCTAAACTCAGGTCTCCACAAGGAGGGTAGTTCTGGAAAAGGTGTGTTTGTCTGTCCTTTGGGTCATAAGACAAACTAGGAATCCGGTAGTCTGCATGCCAGTGGTGGGATCTCACAACTGCAACCCCTGTTCTGTCCCTTCCCGCCAGGAAGAACACACCAGATAGGAAAGCTCTTCCTGAGATGTGGGGCTGTCTTCTGGAGCACTCTGCAGGCTTGCACAAAGCTAGGATGTGGCAAAATCACGCTCCAGAAAACAAAAGATCAGCAAGATTCTTCTGTTGATCCCATACAATGGGTCTACTATAACTTTCTCTAAACTTTCACTTTTATCATCCACTTTAGTACAGGGCTTTATAAACTGTTCCTGGGAAGAAGGACACTAACCTTGCCTTGTTCTAAAAAAAAAAAAACATTCATGATAGAAAAATATGGCTTAATTGTCATAGCTTTAAAATGATTTCAATTCCTAGATGTCACTTTGACATGTGCAACTAAAACATTGGGTAAATAACCCTAATTGTTAAAATTCCACGAGTCAACCCCAAATAGTTTCTGTTTATGGTATGTAATGCCACAAACTGATAACTCTTGAATGTAAAAAGGAAGAAAGGTTGGAATCCTCCAGAGCTCCATATTCTCAATAGACTGTTCACAATACAGGTATTGTCTTGTACAGAATGAATCCAAGTATTAAAAACTCATGATGAGGGCTTCCCTGGTGGCGCAGTGGTTGAGAGTCCGCCTGCCGATGCAGGGGACACGGGTTCGTTCCCCGGTCCGGGAAGATCCCACATGCAGCGGAGTGGCTGGGCCCATGAGCCGTGGCTGCTGGGCCTGCGCGTCCGGAGCCTGTGCTCCACAACGGGAGAGGCCACGACAGTGAGAGGCCCGTGTACCGCAAAAAAAAAAAAAAAACTCATGATGATCTCTCAGGTGATCATTAGGCCAAAGACTATAAGTAAATTCCCTGTACTAATTGCTACTGAGCCTCTGATGTGTTTATAGTTAAAGAGCTCTGCAGTAAACCACTGTGAATACCATAAGATGTCAGGTAATCCTAAATCTTAAATGTTCTGTGGAAACTACTCAGCGTTTATAGCTGTCTGTGAGATCCTCATATAAGATAAAAATAATCTTGGGAAATTGCTACTCTGGTACAGGGAAAATGACAATCTGTCTAAAGAAAACAGAGCGTTAATTTCAAACACCTTCAAGGTTTAAATAAAGGAGAGTTCTGAGGTTACAATTAAATGAAGTTAATCAAAATTCTACTTTGTTGATCTATGTGGGCAATACTGCATGTAATAATAAAAATAGCTACCTACTACTCTTTGCCACTCATCTTATACAATTTCCTCTACTCTTCAGAACATCCCTACAAGGTAGGTGTAGTTATTTTCGCTTTATAGATGAAGAAATGGAGTCTCAGAGAAGGTGTGTGGCTTTCTCTTGGCCACACAGCCGGGAAGTAGTCTATCTCCAAAGTCTTCCCAGTAGGCCCCAATGTCGTACACCTGGTTCTGTAGTGTAATTGTTCCAACACTCATGATCAACATGTCTTTCTCCAGTTGCTATTTTTCACCTCCACTATCTCTTTCACTCCACTAGGGGAATCAGTGTATAAACAATATTGGAGAGCTCTAAACCATCATTCCAATGCATTCATCAATTTCTTATTACTTAGGGAGATTAACTTTGTACTTCTCTTAGAAACTAATTTTCTGCCAAGTTGTGATATGAGATTAATAGGAGTCAGTCTCAGAGACAGGAAATACCTAAACAATATAACGAGCAGCAGGATCCAACCAAAGGAAAAGTAACACTTCCATAACCGAACACTAGAGGGCTCCTTAACCTAGGTTTTCCAAATTAGTCAAGAAACCACCTTCAGGGTTTGCCCCATAGTGTATGCATGTACACAATTATTAACTTATATTTCTTTAGAACACTTCATATTTTTACCAACAGACGTATATTTTAAAAGGGAACTCTTCAAATGTAAAGTCAGTACTTTTCTCCTAGTCATTTATTATATGCGTTAGTATTGAAATGGCACACATACACACCTGATACATTTGATCATCTAACTCCCAAAATTATTTCACCTCTTGCACTTGGAGTGGCCTGCATGATAGGAGTCTGACTCCTGTTATGAGGACTTGCCTTTCTTTACAGACTCCTGTGTTCTCTCCCTCACATCTGTTCCCACACTTACAGAGATGTAGCTCACTCTTGGGAGACAGACACTAGCTGCGGAAGGACCTGACCAGGATACTTCTTCCAAACGTGCGCCGCTAAACCTCTGTGTAAATAAAGCAGGGAGTCTCTGGCCTCATTTTCTAGTTTACAAAATGAAGGTTTGGGCTAGGTTGGTGGCTCTGAATTTTGGCTGCACATCAGAATCACTTCCTAAGCTTTAAAAAATGTCCGAGTCCTACCTCAGACTAATTAAATTAGAATTTGGGGGATGACAGCTGGTGGGACCAAGTCATCAGCAGAGTTAAAAAGCTCTCTAGGTAATTCTGATTTGTCGCTGAGGCTGAGAATGACTCAGCTTGCCTGTGAGGCCTGGTCTAGTGTATCGCTAAGTTCCAAGGCTCTATCTTGACTGGCCTGAGAAAAGCTTTCAGACACACAGCCTACAAAGGCTTAGGTCTCCCACATATTCACCTTTCTTGAGACATAATTATCTCACTTGCAATTACATTCCTAGAAGTAGGGTTTCCGTCCTCAATTCGCAGTGTAATAGGACAGCCTGCAAGGCGGAGGTGAATGGGCAGAGGTACTATGACTCCTCTCCCAAACTGATTTTTGAATTACAAGAGAGAAGTCACCTCCTTAGGGATACCAGGGCTAATCAGCTATTCGGGAGATTGACTTAAAAAGCTATGAAGAAAAAAAAAAAAAAAAAAGCTATGAAGAAGCTGCCGTTGTTCCAAGGCTGCTGGTTTTCAAGGCTACCATGGAGCTGGGGAGAGGAATAGGTGAATAGGAAGCTTTAAAATGTGGCAATTCGTGCCGTTCTTACTGACAGCCAACTCTTTTTCTTGAATAGACACTTAGCAAATTGTTTCAAGCCTTTGGTTAATTTCCAGAGTTCGGAAAAAGTTGATTTTGACAGTTTTTTCCAGTGTTAATACTTTTCTGGAGGAGTGGATTTTTGGAGGTCCTTACTCTGCCATTTGGAAGTACTTCTCTCTTATTTGCAGAGTTCTTTATAAACTCTGGATACAAGTGTGTGTGTGTGTGTGTGTGTGTGTGTGTGTGTGTTTTATCAGATCTATGATTTGCAAATATTTTCTCCTTGTCTTTGGTTTGATGTTTATCTCTTAACAGTATCTTTCAAAAAGTAGAGACTATTAATTTTGATGGATTTCAATAAAGCAAATAAATTATTTTTTTAAAAAAGCTATGAAGAGTGCAGAAGTTCATGCATTTGCTGTATTAATTGGCACAGGCATGGTGTGAATATAGAATCTATTAGATGCCATAAGTTTCAGCATATGTGCTTCAATTGTAGCGGGTGGCATGTTTGTCTCCAAAAGCAGCACATCTTTAGCTACAGGGAGTGGCTTCAACTATAAATGGCCTCAGGTATTCACTATGTCTAGATTCCAAATAACATGTTAACTTTGTTCTTTACTTATGCCTAATAAGCACCTCTACCAAATATAAAATTAAAATGTGACTTGTAGCATTTACACTTCAACTTGAATAGATATTCCTCAATTTTCTATATAGGGATGAGCCCTTCTTTTCCCTCTGTCTAAGACTGAGCCAATAACAGCCTCAACCAATGACTCATTCCACAGCCATATGGTGACTCCACTGCCGAAAGAGTTGTTTCACTTTCTAAAGTAAAGAGCTAATGTCTTTATCCTAGAGCAGATCAAAACTACTGTATTATTAAAAGGTATAGTCTCTCCATAAGGTAATTATACAGAAACTGCTGTTTCTCTGCCTCTGGGATGGAAAGACCAAAGTTAGAACAAGAACTGGCTACTCACACACAAAAAAACTATATTCTCCATTTAAAGTTGAACAGACCACATGCAGTGCTCACCTCACCTATATTCAAACCGGTTTCTTCGGAATTTTTCCTATTGATCTACTGCTAGCAAGATTTTAGAAAAATGGCATATCAAGTCAAGATTTTGTGAGTTTTGAAGAAGAAGATAATTCAATCTTTATAGTCCTTCTGTCCCTGGAGATAAAATATCATGGTTCAAAACTTACTTTGGTAAACATTTAAATGTCTCATGCTTTATAAGAAACTGGATTTAACATATGTTATGCATTCCGTTTGCGTGGTTCAAAACACCTTACCTGTCCAAAGTGTCACCAGATCTGTGCCAACTGATTGTGGCTTTTGGCTCATCCCTCTCATTTGTTTTCCTGTAGCAAAAAATAATTATAGAAAGATCAAATAAATTACAAAAAATAGTTATAAAACATCATGGATTTGGTAAAATTTTGTCCTATTCGGGTAGGAGATGTACATGTTACAGACTTGGAGTACCGAAATCTTCCCAGGCTTTGACTTGGGTAGGATAAAATATAGCAAACCCTATTCTCCATGCTAATAAAAGAATTCTTCTCTAGGTCCAATTATTCTAATTACAATGTAACACATTCAAATTGGTGATAAGGATATGTAAAACAAGCAGCACAACACGCAAAATGGTTAATAACTAATATGTAGTGTTTTCAATGTTGTTGATTTTTATGTAATAGGAACTCAGTCCCTTATAATCAGCTATATTTTGTTTGCAGAGTTTCAGCAGAGCCATAAGCCAACACAACAGCTATGTACAAGTTGCTTCATTATAAGTTCAGCACCGTGGACAGGGTTGAGAGAAGAGACCTTGCTGGCAGAAAAGAGGGAGGGAGAGAGAAGAAAAAAAGGAAAAGAGAGAAACAGGAGACACTGGAAAGAAATGAAAAGAAGACAGTGGGGGAATAGAGAAAGGATGGATGGGAAGGATAGGAGAAGAGAGGGGAGACCGGGAGAAGAAGGGAGAGGAGAGACAGAGGCAGAGAGTTAAGACGGACAGATAAGTAGAAAAAAAAAGGGAGTGGGGGAGAAGACAAGAAAATAAGGGAAATGAAGATAGAAGGCCCAATAGTAGGAACGATGATCACCAAAGCAGTGGAGCTATCTTGATCAGACTGATCAATCAGCAAAAAAAAAAAAAAGCCTGTTTAATGCTTTATATAACATTGTGATACAGGGAAAGCAAGCTCTTTGGAGAATTATACCATGATTTACAGTTTGCATTTCAAAGCATCACCTGAAGCTGACAGACCAAACATACTGAATCAGAAAAAGTACTAAAACAGTATATTATTTAACATGTAATTTTTAACTTGATAGAGTATATCTTTATCAAGCAAATATTTGGAGGTAAACGATATACTGTGCTGATGACTGTGAGTGAGGAAGTCGAGAATGAATTATCTGTAACCCCTACACACACAGAGCTAGAGGGACAAATCAGACATACGTCCAAGTGCAACAAGTGGTCAGTGTCGTAGAAAAGGTTCAGGTCAAGTGCAAGGAAGTTTGAAGCTGAGAAAGCTTATTTGTGGAGGCGGGGATCACAGAAGGCTTTCGGGATGAGGTGCAGGTCAAGGTGGATCTTGGAGGATAAACAGACATGAACAAACAGAGGTAGAAGGAATAGTGTCGGTTAAAGCAAGAATAAGGTTAAAAAATGCCTAATGCAATTCCCTGTATTTTTAAAGAAACGCAGAGTGAAATCATAGTGTGGTTCACCAGCAGGTGTGATACATGAGTGCAGGTAGGTGCTGCAGGGCCATCTGACCCCCTTCCAGAAAACAGCCCCTTTTACAGATGTTATTGTTGTATGTCTCATTAGTAGCTTTATTCTTCCAGGCACTTATCACCACATGACATATTATATTGTGTTTGTTTATTTTCAGTCTCTCCCTCCTCCACCTTCAACTAGGAAGCAAGTTCTATGAAAGTGGGGATTTTGTTTTGTCCCCAGACTTTAGAATAGGGACTGGCTCACATAGGGCATCTCCACAGGTACTATTTTTGCTTCTGCCTCATGTGACATGTTTTAATGATCGGGCAGCGGAAGGACAGTAAAATGTCCTAGTTTGTGCACACTATGAAGCTTGTTTTCTAGGGTGATGAGACTATTATTTATTTTCCTTTTCCTCTATTTTCAGTCTCTGCTCGTGTGGAACTCTTGGACATATCATTGCTTCTCCTGGAAGCGCCTCTTAACGACCACGTCCTCAGTGAGGTCTCCCACTCATTCAGGGAAAGTTAGCCACTCCCTGTGCTCCTTCCCATAGCACCGGCACAACACACTTCCACAAGCACCTTCCATGGTAAATTTGAGTATTTGTGCTTATGTATTCATCTTTTTCCATGAAATGTGAGTTCCTTAAGGTCAAGGCTGGTGTCTTATGCATCTTTGTGTTCCCAGCACCTGGCACAATGTCAGCACACACTGGTGCTCCAGCGTGGTATTGGGTGAACATCAAAGTGGACACAGCCTCTTCAAAAGGGTAGAAAAGTGTCACATGGGCATCCATTTGAGCAAATGCGAGGAGATAAATGACCTACACTACCTTTTAGGAAGATGTCATTTGAGACGCAAGTCAAGGGGTCAAAGGGGAAATGTCTCAGGCTTGCAGATTTTTGTTACTTAGGATAAAAGCTCAATGTGCTTTAGCCAAAATGCTGTCCAGTAACAGGAAGGGTTCAGGTAACCAACAGAGTTTAAAATATAAAGTAAGCATAGACTGCATTAAGGTCCCGTTATTCTGAAACACACTAAGAGCACAAAGCTTAGTCTGCCTGGTCACACTTCACAACAAGTATGTTTGTTCTTTAATAGTTGCAGAGAAAGGCAAATAAAATGGAGGGGGCATTTTTCACTGGTGTCTGGATTCAGATGATTAGGTTCCCTTTGTTTGGTGAGTTGAGGGCCAACAGAGAACAAGGATGTAAGCTTCGAAATCATGACGACCAAGGAGAGGGCATGGAGAGAGCCTGCCAAATCACAGAACAGTCAATTGGATGAGCCAAGGCTGGAAACCCAAAAACCAATCAGATACTTTGTGTAGAAGGGGGTAAACTCAGGACCCTGAGAACACATCAAAATCATGAACAATTTTTAAATGGTTCAGAAAAATTCACAGATAAAAATTCCAAAATAGACATACTCAAAGTGTCTACTTAACTTTTTAAAGTCCCCACCATGAAAGACAATCACTAAGTATATCTTGGTGGAAGACACTGGCTACTGGACCAGATAAAACTTGTGTCTGAGAAATAGTTAAGTTCTTCTGATGGGTGTGGGTGTTTGTATGTGTGTGACTATAAATGTACTTTAGTAAGAATATTATCTATTTATTTCATCAATATTAGATTATTTACATCATTGTGCTTACGAGTTTTGTTTGAATTTTCCTACTAATTTGCATTTGTCAGTCTATTTGCCATTGAGTAACATTTAGTGGTTTTCCACAAGCCTAGGAGTTTTTGAAAAGAAATGCACTGTCCCATAAAGCAAGTGAACTTAGCTGTTGTTCTGCTTTTAGGGTTCCTTTCTCTAAGGCTCAGAAATATCCTATGTTTCTGTGGCGGTCCCTTCCCTTTCCTGTCAGGAGGGCCACCTTGGTAGGGTAGGCAGTGGATTGATTATTCTACACCTCCAAGCCGTATTCTGGAAGCATAAAGCTGGAAAAGCACAGTTTGCCCTGTAAACACCCCTGATGATATCACAGATTCTCCTTCATGTGCCCAGGATGTCAGGGAAAGCCTGAGGCTAGCTACAAATATTCAGCCTGTCTTGAACAAGTCTACTCTAAAAAATGACTGTCTTTGTGTTTCTGCTAATGAATAACTCATCTGAAACACCCACCTGTCTGAGGCATCATGGGAGTTATGTCTATGGTGTACCACCCTACCATAATTTTCATATCTTCAGAGGAAGAACAAAATCAAGTCACATGAGAAGTTATCACAGTATTTAGTAAGCATTAAATAAGGCAGACATGAAAGAGCTCACAATGTTTGGCAAGGTTAATTCATTTTACTTTGGGTGTAAAAACACAACTATGCATTTATTTTAACCAGCCACCACCTGAAAGAGCATGGTGAAAAGAAAAAAGTTTGTCACTACAAACAATCATTATTCCAATTTACCCCATGAGATTTCCATGTGATTCAACAATGGCATGAGTGTTTGTTATTTGGCTTTTTGGTTTTGGGTTTTCTTCAGCAGTGTGGGAACATGCGGCCATCTACTTTGCATATATTAGAAAAGTCCTTTTCTGCAGGAAGGCAAACGTTTTTTCAAACGTGTTTTAAATTTAATTAAGCCCAGGCTAGAGGATCTATGGTGGGGCTATTGGAGGACTCTGGGAGGGCTCATGACAAAGACTGCTTCCCAGACCTTCTGCTGTCACTGTCCTTGTTCCCATGGTGAGCCACAGCTGCCCCCCACCTCTGCAGGAGACCAACACTAGCAGGGTCTGGATGTTCTGGTCAGGTGTTGGCCTGAGCCTCTGAAATGGGAGAGCTGACGTCAGGACACTGGTACACCAGAGACCTCCCGGCCCCTCATAATATCAATTGGCAAGAGTTCTCCCAGAGATCTCCATCTCAACGCTAACACTCAGCTCCACTCAATGACCACCAAGCTCCAGTGCTGGACATCCCATGCCAAACAACGAGCAAGACAGGAACACAACCCCACCTATTAGCAGAAAGGCTGCCTAAATCATAATAAGTTCACAGACATCAAAAAACATACCACCAGATGTGGTCCTGTCTACCAGAAAGAAAAGATCCAGCCTCATCCATCAGAATACAGGCAACCATCCCCTGCACCACGAAGCCTACAGAACACATTGAACCAAACTTACCCACTGGGGGCAGACACCAAAAACAACAGGAACTAGGAACCTGCAGCCTGTGAAATGGAGACCCTAAACACAGTAAGTTAAGCAAAATGAGAAGACAGAGAAATACGCAGCAGATGAAGGAGAAAGGTAAAAACCTACCAGACCAAACAAATGAAGAGGAAATAGGCAGTCTACCTGAAAAATAATTCAGAGTAATGATAGTAAAGATGATCCAAAATCTTGGAAATAGAATGGACAAAATACAACAAATGTTTAACAAGGACCTAGAAAAACTAAAGAGCAAACAAAAAATGACAAACAACACAATAAATGAAAGTTAAAATTCTCTAGAAGGAATCAATAGCAGAATAAATGAGGCAGAAGAACGGATAAGTGACCTGGAAGATAAAATAGTGGAAATAACTACTGCAGAGCAGAATAAAGAAAAAAGAATGAAAAGAATTGAGGACAGTCTCAGAGACCTCTGGGACAACATTAAACGCACC